CCATGATCCTAAAACTTGACATTACCAGGAACATGTGCTATGTACCATTAGATGAGGAACTTTAGTGATAACAGAGCTAACTAGACCAGAGAATAGAAAAAAAGAGTTCAACAACCCAAGCTTCCTTGCTTCTAAAGAACAAGTAATTTCGTTAGACAGGTGAAGAATGGCTAATTCCATTCCATTAGAAACACAGTAAATCATTTCCAAGAATTGCAAGTAAGCCATCACCAAAGGAATCTATGTTACTACAAGCATATCGTTCCCCTGATGCTAGATTAAATAGATGCACCAGGGCTATCGAACCTGAAGATAAATGCTTGTGTCATACTGACTCTTCAGAGCATACTCGTTGAAGACGGATGCCATTGATGGGACAGTAATCTGCATGTGAATTTTCAAATTAGCCTCTAGCATGAATTACAACTTTTCCATACTGCATCAACGGGGAAGTATGAGAAAGTCAGATTATGTGCATGGAACAACTTCCACATCTTCGAGATAATAAAATATAGGCACAGGAAAAAGAAGCTTACAAAGATCACGGTACAGACGTATGCACCCGTAGCCAGAGGAATTCCGATGGCAGTAGCACCTTCAGGAAGAGATCGTAGTTGATTTACACTAATTCCTATCAGCAACAAAGCAAGTGCCTCCCACTATAACAAAATTAAAGAAAAGCAGGTCAGGTTCAATTATTCTTATTGAAAGGAAGGTTACAAAAACTTCCACTATAATATTGTCTGATATTGAAAACTGGTCATACACACATATAATCAATACAAATAATTGAACCAGACCTGTATGATGGAAAATCGCCGCTTCATTATCATCTTCAATAGAACAGCAATGACCAGAACCTTTAGATTGCTAAGCATCTTCACAGTAGCAGGGTTGAAATATAGCTGGCATAGGCGAAACATTCATTATTGTATGAAATTAAAATACAGGAAAGAATGAAGATAGAACCAAATACAACAACCCGAGAAAGACAGGTAAATAAGCCCACTGAAATGCACAATGTAACTATGATGTAAACAGCTAGCTGACTCAAATATCTATATCACCAAGAGGCAACTTGACAGATAACACAATCACAAGCAGGTCTTAAGGAAGAAGAAAAGGCAGAAAAGCGTGGTATAAACTTCTCCTTAGAAAATGCTAATCTTGTCGTCTGTTTAGGGTGCACTTAAGTAATGTCTCACATGGAAAGATGGAAAGTCAAAAAATACAGGATCACAAAAACTGGAAAAGAACACCACAGGACATGCTGTTGCCGTAAAGCCAAACCTCTGACAATAGACCACGCTAAAATTCAGCAGCTATTAATTAGACTCAAGGATGCCAAATTAAAAAATGACTACTTGGCTGTACCTGCATTGTGAACTTCAGATAGTTATTAATTGCATACAACAGGGCTGGAACAGCAAGAAGCACATTGTTTCGAGCTGCCTGCAAAATAGACACATGTCAATGTGATCTGCATTATAAATAGTCAAGCTATTAAGCTTAGAAGTTTCAAGTCGGGAGAAGAAAGAAATATTAGAAATCTAAAATGGTATATATATCTACTGGTCAATACTATCCAATGCCAAAAGTTTACAAAACCTAGTGAATTGTAGAAAGAATTAAGGGATATGTATATGAGATATGAGTGTATGACATATGTCAAGCTATCCAGCAATGAAAGGCCAAGAAACTGGCTTCAAAAATTTGAGAATGTCATATAAAAAATCTAGTACATGAGCTTAGACTCTCTTTAATTAACAAAGAAGACGTACCTGGACAAAAGTGGAAACAGATAGAAGAGGCTTCTCTCCAACTTTTTGGTGCCTGGCCTACAGTTTGAACACAAACACTTAAGCTTTAATAGACCGCCAAAGGAACAGCAGGAGACTAAAGAAATAGGTACTAATTTGGAAATCAAGAGATCGTCTTTATGCACAGAAATGATGGGGATATTTTTCACATTCAAATTACCGGTTAATCAACATCAGAACTTCCAACAAATAGAAACAAAAGAGCAAAGCTACAAATCAAACTTCCAGAAACTAGCCAAAGTTCATGAACTTCTAGTACTTTTCATCTTCTAAATGCAGAAGAAACATCTAGCAACTAGTCCTAGATACAAGAGTGCAACTTAAATGTCCTGCTAAAAAATCGAGTTTTTAAAGTCAATTCAGAAACATACCTGGAGTAAAAGCATCACAATCGCAAAAATAACTTTTGCAATTTCTGTCAAGAAGTTGACGCTAATAGGACTAAAATTGAACTTCCCATCCACCTTAGACATGTACACCAAGACAGGCTGAAAAGGAAAAGTATGCAACTTTTTAGTGATTTAAAACTACTGATTCGATAGTTAAATGATGTAAATGTCAAAGCAAAATGTCATTAGCTAAAATCGAATCGAGATGGTTTACCTGCAGACCAACAAGCATGCAATCACCTACTACCAAAAGAACATTGAGGACCCGTTGTTTTGAGGTTACCCTAATCTTATGGTCATCATAAGCCCTGGAAATGGTTTTGCTACCGGGAGAAACCAGCTTCGAACGACATACACTGCACTCAACCACCCCGTTCTTCATAATCTGATACTTTTTCTAGACTGAGCCAAGCCTGATAAACAACGTATAAACACACACACAATTACTGACTAGGGATTGATTTCCAAGTAATGATCATAAGAAGATACAAACTTTAAGTGAAATTTGAGAGCAAAAGGCAATCAATCAATCAAATCTAAACCCATGATCAGATCTCCATAGCTGTATAAAAACTCACAATTTTCAATAGAAACAACAATGAGCGAAAAAACAGATCTCAAAAAAACTCAAACTTGGATCTAAAGCCGCCATCAAAATACTTGTCGGTTCATTGCAAAAAACATCAAATTCG